TGTGAGGCGAGAGGAGGCCATGGCTGGCTTTTTATTGTTTAGTGGGCTTGTGTGTTGACCAGCGACTGACTCCTATAGTCAGATTTTCACAAACACATGATTCCACTTTCCCAAGTGCCCACAGCTGCTACTTTCAATACTTGGTTTTTCACACAGTCCAGTCTCAAGGTATTGATCAGGGCGGTCTGTTACACACTTTCTCCCAACACTAAAAGAATCCCTCTTTGTCTTACAAAGCAGCACATAAACACCCCCTTTGTGCACCATTCTCTGCGCTCCAGGGATTATCCCACCATGAGGAATGTTTAAATGCCACCTTCTGCAACTTGGACTTTTGTCCAGAAGCCCCAAACTGGCACTTTAAAGGAACAAGAATGGAGATCTTTATTTGCCTAATGTTATGGGTTTTAAAAAATATTTATTCTTTTTGTTTTGTGTATATGAATGTCATATGCACATATGGTTGGGCAACCCTTGTGTGCAGTGCCAGTGGAGGCCAGAAGAGGGGATTGGATCCTGTGTTACCTACGGTTTTGATCCATCATGTGGGTGCTGGGAACAGAACCTCGGTCCTCTACAAGAGTAGTCCATGCTCCTATGTGCTGAGCCATCTCAACAGTGACTAATGCTGTGGTTTTGAATCACTGATTTTAGATTGGATCCCAACATTTATAAAATGAGAAGCCATCTCCCCCACCCCTGCCAAAAAAAAAATCTAGCAACACAGCTCAAATTCATAAATTAAACAGTGGATGTCAAGACCCCACACTCTTGCTGTGGGCATAATTTTCTGGAGTGAAGTGGGTTGGGTGTTCACTTCAGATGAAGGATGTGCTTATTGGCATCCCTAACCAACCACTTTTTGCCTGTCTGCTTAACCCCGAGGAGACGCCTCATCTTTTATCCAGCATTGCCCTTGTGAACACTCAGGGACTGTGAGTCTGTGAGCTCGTCATAGGCTGTGCATGCAGGAATTTCAGCTGACTGGATCATTAGTATCGAGCACACCAAACCCAGGCTAGATGCCCAGAATATGCAGTGAATTTGACTCGCTATGCCCCACGAGGTCACTGTGAGCATCTGTGTATTCCTGTCACACAGACTTTCGGCTCTTCGGTGCACCTTGTCCTACTGATATTTAGCCCTTACACTCCCCCTCATCCCTTCTTCCTGAGATGTTCTCTCTTTCTCCCCCAGCTCAACTGCTACTTTCTCTGGAAGCCTTTGTGAGAAAGTCCTTCGATTATGTCAACTCTCACTATGATATGCCTTCAAAACATTCTTGACTTGCTCTTCATTACCATTGTTAGGGGTTGTGTGTATGTGTGTGGGTGGGGGGGGGTGCTTTCTGCCAGTTTTTCCTATTGCGCCGTAAGCACCAAGAGCAGAAACAATGCCAGGGTCCTGACTAATGGAAACACCGCTCCTCATCTGATGTCATAGGCATGGCAAAGGCTTGAGGCTTAAAGGAACAAATGAATGAATGAGTGGATGAACGAATGCATGAATAAATGGATGGAAGCTGCCAAGAGGTAGGCCTTAACAAATGCTAAGCCAGGAATTCAGAGCGTTGTTATCCTTTTTTTTTTTAAACTCTGTGGAGTGTGCCTGCCTCTTGTTGTGTAAGCCTTGTAGACCAAGGTGACTTGGAAGCAATTTCTCCTGTCTGACATTGTGTGCAGCCAGAAGACATCCTGAACCTTTTGTTCGGTTTTTATCTTCTGCACCGGATACAGAATGTCAAAAACAGATGGTGAGTGGTCACGCTGATCAGGCAGTATTCCTGGCTGAAGACAGGCTGGTAGTTTCTCTACGTACTGCCTCACACTGGATAGCCTTTCAGGGCCTCTTTACCTTGGGCTGCATCTCAGAGCAGGGCAGCAGCAGTGTCTGCCACCAATGAATGTGCTGGTGCTTAAGGGATAGACACCCTATTAGCTCTGGCCTTGGAGTTTCTGTTGGCCGAGGCATTTTGTAAGCATCATTAACCTTATCGTGTCCTGTCACTGCAAAATTAGTAAAGATGTATAAAGTACAATGAATGACTACGATCCAGACAGGACTTAAAGTGGCACAGTCCCATACGTGGGTCCCATGCATGTGTGTACCCACTGGGTGCCCGTGAAGTCTGCACACCGACTGCATGCCTGTAAAGTTTGATTCCAGACAGATGTGGTTTTGTCCACCAGGGGGAAAAAACCTTATTATCCACACAAAGTTTAAATATATATATATATAGGTTCTCTAGTCACACATGCCTCATCAGCAAGCCGGGGCACAGAATTAATTGGCCAGAAGGCTCACTGGGATTAATTAGCAGTTGCATAGGAAGAGATCAGCTCAGACTTCCAGTGCGGAGGATGGTGTTCTAGAATGACCAGTTCCTGGAAGTCCAGTTCAGCTCCTGTCATGGGGAATCGCTCACCATTCACCGATAACAGGGCTGGGGGCCCTTGGCTCCTCAGTGGGTCAGCACGTGCACCTGCACACCTGACTCAGGCCAGCAGAGGGCAGCAATACGCTGTGTGTGCTCAATTTGCATTCCAAATTAGCAAATCCCTGAAGACCTCCAAGGAAAGAAAGTGGGTGTCCCCCAGTCTAGGCTAATTCTCTCTGGGTGTCAACACTGGCCTGAAGAACAGCAAACCCAGGCCTTCTGCAGCTCACCGAGCTTTGGTTCCTCTACCACAGAAATGAATAGACAACTAGGAACTGCCATCACAGACAGGAAGTAACTTTAATTAAATATCGTGAAAGTCGAAAAGTTTTTTACAGCTTGAGTTTTTTTTTTTTTGCAAAAAGAAAAATAAAAGGAAAGAAAAAGAAAATTATAACAATCTCTACAGTAGTTAAGTGCTCTAACAATTGAACTGTACAGTGTGTGTCTACTGAAAAAGTTTTGATAAGAAGGTGAAAGGTTAGTAGATTGACAGATGAGTTCATGAAGCTGCATCCTACATTGTGAGGCCGGGCATGGCATATGCACATCCAGTCATCCAGAGGCAGGGCTCTTCCCCCAAAACTGAAATCTGAATTGAATTCTCTACTCCATCGTCTTTTTTAAAGCCATATTCTGTATTTAGGGGGGAGGGGGGGCTGTGTCTTAAAGGAACTTGAAAACAACATTTTGAATAGAAGAAAATGGTTCCTGGAACCAGAACGCTTCTCCATCATCTAATCAAACATAAACAACAGAACACAAATGATACACATTTTCTCTTTAAAGGCTCTTTGGGCTTTCCAGTGAAGTTCTCACCATGGCACATGGCTAACAGATTGGTGGCGTCTTTTGTCAGGGTCTGAGCCGGACATCTCACCAGCTCGCCGCTTGTTCCTTTGCAGACTGGCATCTGGCTCACCAGACAAAATATGGCTTTAGACCTTAGACATCCTCAGGCCAGCGCTTACCACACGAATTCAGACAACCTTTCTGAGTACGGAGAAGCAATGCTAAACCTTGCTTATATTTTTTTTCCAGTTTCTTTTTATTATTATTATTATCAGTCATCATTATTATTATTTCTCACCATGAAAAATCAGCTTTCCTCCCTCCCCTCCCTTACCAACCTCCCCAACTCCCCTCCCCTACCCTCCCCAACCCATAAAAATCTGCACTCTTGACAGTCTAGTGAAAACCATTGAAATCCACACGGGGCATGCACAGGTTGCAGCATCCTTGTTAATGGTCGCTTGCTCTACTAGAAAAAGTAACATTGTCATTGTCTGAAAGTAACAAAACAGTTCTTTTGTGCTTTTCAATTTCTTTGTTTTTTTTTCTTCTTTTTCTTTTTTTTTTCTTAAATGTTAGTGATGACTGACAGGGTGCACAGTACAATGTACAGGTGAGATGAATATGATCTGCATTGTTAAGGCATCCAATCTGCTGGTTTATATTTATGTGAAAGACAGAGAATATACAAGCAGACTTAAGAAAGAAAGTATGTTCATTGATCTCTATGAAGTTTCTCCCCCAAATTTAATGCACAAAATGCGTCGCTCCAAAGGGAGAGATTCCATGCATATTAATAGAGTAAAACAGCATTTTTGTATGCTTCCAAAGCAAAGGATACATCATTTTTTAAATCTACAGAACTAAATGCTACAAGAATAATATGCTACTATTTTTTTGCCATATATTGGAAAAAACTTCTTAACTTACAAATAATACAAAAATAGACAATGGCTTTTGGGTGGAAATAAAAAAAATGAAGCATGGTTTGAAACAATACTAAAAATACCTATAAATGAATTGTTTAAAAATCACATTGAAACAGCCAATACAATCATAGGTGACCAAACTATACGCACTGTTCACAAAGCAAATACACACACACAAAAATAATAAACTGGGGCTTGGGGGTGAGAGGAGAGAAAAAGCAATGTACAAATTCCAAAGATAAATACATTATTTATATGGATATTTTACAAAATCCCCATTAAAACAGACAAACAAAAAGCGTTTGAGTTAACTTTGCAAGTACGTGCTAGCTAAAGGTAGTGCGCTTTTTATTTCTTTGCAAAATATGCAGGAAAATCGTTTCTTTTTCGTGAGCTTGAAAACCATCTTCAGACATTAAAATGTATAAATAAAACAACTTTGGCAAAAAAAAATCACAAAAAAATCTACAGTATTTATAACTACATACAGAAACCGAAGGGCAAAGAAAAGTCAGCCAGGCCCGTGCCCCACCTCCCCCACCCCCCCACCCCGCCCCCATCCCCCCAGAGCCTTCCTGGCTGCCTCTTTGCTAAGGATTCTTTCTTTTAAGAACACTTCCCAGTTGAAAGCAAAAATTCCCACAGAAAGCTGAGTTCAAGGCCTCCCCTTTCTCTTCCTCTTTCCCAGTTTCCTTTCATTCTGAACCCCAAAGCACTTTACCTGTTGATTGAATTTGTAACTTTACAACAACCACGCCAGGGTCCAGGCCCCTGTGTGATTCAAGAACCCGAACAGCCTGCCTACTCGCCTGCCTTTGTCAGTTTGCTTTGTCTGAGTTTTCTTTTTATCTTTTCCTTCTTTTTTTTTTATTTTTCTTTTTTTCCCCCTATTTTTTGAGCCTGGATATAGAATTAGCATTAAGGATTCTAGCAGGAGTAAGCTCGAATCTCTTGATGGCGGCGTGTGAGTGAGATTTCAGCTTGGTAACCTGGAGGGCTTATGTGGAATTCTGTGCCTGGACCCTGTTCCATGAAGTCTTAAAGGAGTCTCTCACTCGGTGTATGGGCCACTCCGCTCTGAGGCCACTGGCTTCGGAAGAAGTTGACATAAGAATGAGATCGGGTTAAAAGATGCAGGGAGGTTTTTTTTTTGTTTTGCTTTGTTTTGCGTTGCTTTTTTTTTTTCCTTTTTTTTCTTTTTTAGCAATCTGTCTAGAGGCACTGAATTTTCTGAGTACAAGGGAAAAATGTGATCATGTATGTCGCTTGGTAACTTTCCAGGCTGCGTTTATTTACACAGTTACTTAAGACAACCATACAAAAGAGAAAGAAGCTTGCAGAACTGCTAAGGGATGGCGTGTTAAGTTAGATATCGAGAATGCACTGTCCGAGCTAACTACCATTGATATGCTTTAAGGCGCAAAAGCCGACCCTTAGTTTTCTAAAAAATCTAACTGGCATTCCTATTCTGTCCCATACAAGCTTTTTTTAATTTTTTTTTTACCTTTTTTCTTTTTTTTTTCCCTTCTAGCTTTTTTTTTTTTTTTGTAAATATCTCACCACTTCATTCTCCCCTTACACAGCTTTAAAAACATCATAAATTAGAACATGGAGTCTTAGTCATCGTGGCCCTTGGGTGTAGCTTTATGGTTTATAAAAGACAAATGATTGCAGAGTTAAAGCTTAAAAAAAAAAGAAAAAGAAAAAAGAAACCGTGGTTTTGCTTTTATCAATACAGAATAAATATATCCCCCCAGATACTTGGGGGGTACAAGTTTAACCAACACCCTGCTGTAGCAGATCCCCTTTCCAATTTCAGCATTTTGCAAGGTCGGTGATTTTGTTTAAAAATCTGCAGTTATTGTGTGATTCCTCTTAAAAAGGCCTGAGTTAAAAGTTCCACTCTGGGACTCATATCAGATTACTTTCGTAGCAGAATCCAACCTCTTCATTAACAAACTTCTTCAAGGCAATTCTTTCACATGGGAGGGACAATCATGCCAGATATCGCTATGAAAAGAAAAGACAGAAGTCAGTGGCTTTGCACTCCAACAGTTTGCCAAGGACGGGGGCAACAGTAAAAACAACCCACACATGACAGTGTTGATTGACTATTAACCGGATGTCCTTGCCTCTTCCCAGGAGTGAATTTTTGTCATAAAAGACACATAAGCCTTATTGAAAATTATATCCGCCTGCATATGTCACTCTAACAGAAGAGAGTATCCTAAACATTCCCCCCCAAATCTGACTTCAATTTTAAGACAGAACTGGAAAGTTGCATAGCTTGAATACCATTGGGAAAGTTGCAGCTTCAGACTTTGCAAAATAGTGAGAATTTTCTGTTTGTCACTCTGCCTTCCCTCCCGTCACGTCCCAAATATGAAATACAGAAATGGCCTGCTGGAACAGCCAACGGTTTCTCCAGGCTCTCCGTATGTTCTGTATTAGCATGAAAATTAAGCAACAGAGTCACCATCTGAGGGCCTTCTCTTCAGCCCGCGCTGGAAAAGGGGATGCCAGCCCCGGCAGGCATTGTTCACTGGGAGAATGGAGCCTTCAGGGAACATGGAGTCGGAGGAGAGAACATATTTGCCTGAAACTGTAGAATGCCTTTTCTACTCTGGCTTCTCTCGGGATTTCTGGAATGACCATAATGACCATAAGTTCCAGAGAAAGTGGAACCTGCTAAAGGAAGACCTGTTTCAGGTCAACCCGGATTCTTTCAGAGGGTTTGGAGTGAGAAGCAGCAAGTGGTGTTTAGAAAACACTGCCTCTCACCTACTGACCTCTGAGTATGCTCCCCTGGGATGGTTAATTGTCTTCCTGACCCTCAGCCTCCTTGGCCAGGACCTGCAGTCAACTGCAGCAGTCAGGAGTTACTGGAGATTTGAACATAATTGGATGTAGAAGAAGTGTGGAGCCTGGCTCTAACTTCAGGCCCGGTCTAACCTGAGGGCAGGTTGGATCTGACCATGAACCTACCAGAGCTTTTCCCATGGTTCAGGTTCACAGACAATTCTCTGGTCTGTGTTTTCCCATATATCCAATAGACACCATTGCACAGGGCGCACTTAACATAGAGGATGTGATAAACGGGGGACCACTGTAGGAAAGTTAAGACAGGGTGACAACTTGGAAATGTCCCAAGACAAGAAAGATGCTTCCCTTGAAACCAAAGACATAGCCTCTTTGGTTCCCAATGACATCAGAGTAAAAGCCTTCCCTTCTTATTGACAAGTCTAAACTGAAGCGAATGTTCTTGTTAGCAATGATCAGTGCAGGACAAAGTGGCCTTCTTTCTCTTCCTTTATCTCAACCATCATGTCTGAGAAAAAAACGTGCCTTAAAAATAAAGGAATCCCGCTAGCACAGATGGACAGAGGGAGGCCAGGCCATGTGCCCCCCACATTATTTTTGCTTCCCTACCCCAACCCCTGACATTTTAGATTCAATTAAAAGAAAAAACCCAAAAGTATTTTGCCAAACACTTTTTCCGTTAATTTTTAAACCCATCTGTATTCGCAAGGAAATTCAATCCACATGTTTCTGATTCATTTACACGTAAATCATCCAAGTGTTGTTTTGCAAGAGCCTTTTGCAGTCCAGAAGCTCCTGGAGTCCTTTCCTGAGCCCCCATAAGCCTTTCTTTCTTAGAAACAGGAAGTCATTTTCTGCCAAATGCAGCCTGACTTAAGCCCCCCACCCCACCCCGAAGATTTGGGATCAGTTGGAAAAGCAGCCTCCTTAAGAGCTGGGTGAGCCCTAGATTTCCCTGAACTTTGGAGCTTAGCATTTAAACCCCAGCCTTGAGAGTTTCAGATGCTGCAGCCCCAGGAGCAAGGAGAGCCAGGAGCGGGGAGGGGGAGGGGGTGTCCTTCAGTCTCCTTGTGATATTGCCCCAAGTGTCTTTGCATCCAGGCTCCAGGTGGGTCCTCTACCCTTCTTTTAGGTAGCAGGAACATAAAGCCTGTGGCCAGTGAAGTTAGTCTTTCTTCTATTTTACAGAAATCCTTACTGTGTGCGAGTGTGGAAGAGCAGGCAGGCTCTGTCCTGGGACAACCCAAGCAGTGTCAGTGTGGTCTAAAGTCAGTCAGATGGTTGACAAAACTCCTGCTCTTTTATCTCAAGAACTCGGTAGACACTTATCATCTGGGTCCTGAAAATATCCTTTGGGATTTTGTAGTTGTTGATTAAAATTAATTCAGGCTATACTGAATTTAAAAAAAGAAAGAAAAAGAGAAAGAAAGAAAAAAGAAAGAAAAAATCCAAACAGTGTTTTGTTACTTAGATAATTTGTAGATTGATTAGATTAAGCTTCTTCATGGGGCCTCATTGAAAGTTCCCCTCCAAGATCACTGGTGTGCTGGCACACTTCTCTAAGTTGGTGCTTCTAAACCCCATAATTTTAAGAGCCCAGCTGTCACATCAGTGAGCAGAGTCCTCCTGAGCAGGAATGGAGAGGATATGGCAGAGGGAATGCCTTCTGCAGAGGGGCTGTGCTGTCCTGGGATGCTGGCCCAAGCAGACTTCTGAATTCTTTGAAGAGAGCTGAGAATTATAGACTTTTTCAAACATGGTCTTCTGGATATATATATATATATATATATATATATATATATATATATATATTTGGAAATAGCTGATATTAAGATCAGATACACTCGAGGGGCCCTATGGGATAGGCATGGCTTGCCACCTCTTCTAGGCCAACTCACAGAATATAAGTCTAACGCAAGCTCTCTCACCCCTCATACAAGGCCCACAAGTACTTACAATTTTTATAAAGGGGTATAGCACCCTTCATTTTCCCAGGACCTTTTATACACCAAAATGCTAGCTGTCTATGACTTGAGTCTGGGCACCACAAAAGAGGCCCTCCCTTTAAGAAACCCATTGTGTGACTACATGATAATCCTGGGTCGAAGAGTTGTCCTGCAGTCTAGAAATTAACGATGTGGGTGAGAAGGACGGGATCGGAGGCTTGGAATGTACCAGAAATGCTGATGGTATGCTTGACTTGCTCAAGTAGAGCCTGGGCAGATTCCCATGAGACTCCACATTCCCAGCATTGTGTGCCAAGACATCATCACCAGACCGCAGTGGCTCGGCCACAGTCCCCAGTGCTGGGTGGTCACGTTTTCTGGGGGGAACCCCCAAGGCCATTGCGTTGAAAGGCGATATATTTCACCTTGAAGTTTTCCCACTTTGATAAGAACTAAGAAAAAGATGGAAATCACCGCGGCACTGGGAAAGGTTAAGTGAGGAGGGAGAAGAAATCTTTCCCTGAACTATCCCAAGTATAAGAATCGTGAGCTCATCATGTGTGGGGTGGGGCAAGATCTTCCACACACTAAATATGTCTATAGAGAAAAAAAAAAACAGTTTTGTAAGGGTTGGTACTGAGGTGCATGGTACTTAGGGCCAAAAGGAGACTGACTGTCAACAAGGTATAGGGAGTGGTTTGCTCTGACTACTACTTCTACAACATGCCCTTGATCTTGTTTTAGTCAGTACACATTCTGATGGCATGTGACAGCTCTTTCCTGACTCTGAAGTCCCTGCATAGGACTTGGGCTCTGAAGGGCAACAGTTTTAGAAGAGAAAGGACATGAGTTTCTATAGAACGGGGCTGAGCAGAGCTGGTGATTTGAGCCCTTGGTCTATAGAGACAGACTTGCTTGGAAGTCTAGGGTCAAGAGTTATCAATGACTTCATCTCGGTAGTAGTGGGTGGAGCCTTTTCTACATTTTATTTGTCGATCCAGATGGAAGCAGCAGTTTCCATAGCTTTTCACATGGTACTCATTGGTCTGAGTTACACGGGAAATAACTCTGCAGGCAGATGCCTGGAACAGGCCACACCGATGGTTGGCTCTGCCTATATTCATGGACTCGGCGGCTGCACAACAGCAACGTGAGGAGGGACATATCCATGAGTAAAATGAATCGGGCACAGAAAGACAGGACACAGAGAAGCTACAGAGTTGATCTCATAGAAGCAGAGACTAGGATGCGTTTGCCAGAGCTGGAAAGTGGGCCAGAGGGCAAAAGGATAAGTAAGGGGTCCAGAGGACAGGTGAATAGGACAGGTAACTTCTCATGGCACAGGAGCCTAATGGACAGCAATCAACCAAATATTTCAAATTAGCTAGTAGAGAGAGTTCCTTTGCCTTACAAATATCCCATGTAAAAGATACACTAACATATTGCACATGGACACACGCACATACACATGACGGCCACATGTAGCTCATAAGTATGTAAAACTATTTTGCCAATTAAAGTGTGTGTGTGTGTGTGTGTGTGTGTGTGCACCAAAGGTCAATACCAAATGTATTCCTTTATTGTTTTTTTGCCACATTTTTGAGACAGGATCTCTTTCACCTGACTTGCTGTTTTAACTAGATTGGTTAGGTCAGCAAGCTGCAGGGACCCACACATCTCCTCCATTCCTCCCATGCTATACTAGAGTCACAGCTACATCCAACTACAACCAGATTATGCATGGGTTCTGGGACCTGAACTCAGGTCTTTCTGTTTGCACAGCAAGCCACTTTAGACACTGAGACATATCATCAGCCCAATTTAAAAATCCAAACAATTGCAACTATACAGAGCATATAGAAATCTTTTTATGGTTACTATTTCCTGAATTATAGCATAAGAGCTATTTGTGTGGTGTTACACTGTATTAAGTATGATAAGTAGCACAGATGATTTGAAGTTCATATACAGACACTACACCATTTATATAAGAGGCCTGAGTATCCAGGCATTTGCGTATCTATAGGAGCCTTGAAACTATGTCCCGCTGGAAACTGAGGGCTGTCTACAGTCATTTCTGTTTCTCTGCAGGATGTCTTGGAGCCTGTGATACCTTATAAAGGGCACAGCTCTCTACAATAGCAACCCAGTAAGAACTACTTTCTAAATTCGACCACAATAGTTTGACTTCTTCACCAAACCATCTCCTGAGGATCAAGGAGTATTGAAGTAAGCATTGCTTTGTCCTACAAATGTTTCTTCTCAAGTTTTCAAAAGTCTCCCTTATAGGAGAGACACAACCGACTTTGTAAACCATGAAATAGATACAAAGAGGCATACTAGGATACTAGGAGCCAAGGCCTCGAGTTTTTGCTTTCTTCCTCCTTCACACATCATCCTGGAACTTGACTGCTTACATGGGTGCTTCTCAGCTTAGAACAATGCTCTTTCTCCCTAGGCTAGAATCTGGTCACTATTCATCATGAGAAACAGTTCAAAGGCAACTTGACCATGAAATGGTCTGATTTAGCTTCATGGTCCTTGCCTCTGCAGCCCATGGCTGGGAGCCAGCCTCTCTTGGGTAGATCTGCCTCTCTAACCTGGGTATTGCATCTCCCCAAACACAGGGTCAGTTTTTGAAGTTGATAGACCTTGGTCCTTCACATAGACCTAGCCTGGCGGCTCAACCATAGCTCTGGAGACACAGCACCGTAGAGTGAATGCTTGAGGTTCAAGCCTGAGGTTTCCTTAGCTGCTAAATGAGTGACTGCAGACAAATCATCTCAGCTCCATGTCTCTGTGTCCACATCTACAAAGTGGATGGAATAAGCAGCCACCAAAAAGAGCCATAGGGAGGAAGTCTTCTGTCATTGCATAAGCCAGGCTGGAGGCAAGCCCTCCCTCACTCCTCACCACCACACTCAGCGGTGCCGCCTGTCTCCTGCTGGCAAAGGGGTAGTTGGTTAAGGAGCAGGCTTTTACAAACCAGGAGGGTGTTCAATTAATAGTGGTAGTTGGAGGTGAATAGGCCTTTAAATATGCCAACAGTCTAAATGTGTCCCAGTTAGACATTCAGATTTCCACTGGTGTCTAGTCTTCAAAGTGTGGGGTATTTGGTATATGACAGTATTGGGAGATGAAATACAGTCTGGGTTCTAGGAGAGTCTAAAAACAATGCCCCGTGAGGGGCACATCCAACTAGAAGGGAAGGTAGGGTACAGCAAGTCCAGGAAGATGAATGTGAGTGGGCCTTCTAAGTTCAACACCCCTTTACTGTTAATCGCAAGCCTCCTTGTACTTTGCTCCTGATCGCAACTCTGGGTTTGCTAGTTTTATGTCGACTTTGCACAAGTTGGAGTAATCTGACAGGAGGGAACCCCAATTGAAAAAAACATCTCCATAAGATATAGCTGCAGGCAAGCCTATAGGGCAATTTTTAAATTAATGATTGATGAGTGTGAGAGGGCCCAGCTTATTGTGATTGGTGCCACCTCAGGGCTGGTGGTCCTGGGTTCTATAAGAAAGCAGGCTGAACAAGCCATGAGGAGCAAGCCAGTAAACAACACTCTTCCATGGCCTCTGCATCAGCTCCTGCCTCCAGGTTCCTGCCCTGTTTGAGCTCCTGTCCTGACTTCCTTCAGTGATGAACAGTGCTGGGGGAGTGTGAGCCAAATGACCCCTTTCCCCCAACTTGCTTTGGTCATGGTGTTTTATCAGAGCAATATTAACCCCAACTAAGACACTAGCCAAAGTTGAGGCCGTCAGTTTAAGAATGGTAACTTTAGGGCTGGAGAGACGGCTGGGTTGTTAAAAGCCAGACTCACAACCAAAAATACAAGATTGGCGACTTTACTCTCTCCCGTATGTATCATCGTTACTTCAAACTACATGAAATTATAGTTGTTCTAGCCGGGGGTATAATGAGGGAAGGTATTTATTTTTAGCTGATAGAAAGTAAAGCTGGCATGAATATTAGGGTCAGGATATTTCTAGCTTGTCTACCTGGCCTGAGATGTAGCTCCAGAGTAAAACACTTCCCTCTTTTGTTTAAGATGATGAACAGTAAGTAGACGCATGTCCCATTAATGGCAAGTTACTCTGGGCACTAACTAACTTCCGTTATGCCTAGCAGTTTACCTCCAGGTTCTGAGGAATATTCTACAAAGTTCTGCCAGAGGGGGAGCGCCACAATGCTGTATGGTTGCTTGGGCTCTGGAGGTGTAGCATTTAGGTTCAATCTGGACTCCACCACGTCATCACTATATGTGAACTAAGCTTGAATGGACCTGTTCATGGGTGGGGGGGGGGGAGTGGTACTGAATTCTGAAGGTCTTGGGAGAACCACTGTGTGCTTACCTCAACAAAAAGTAGTCAGAACATAGCATGCGTCTATATGTTAAGTGGGCATCCACATCCACATGAGAAATGGAGCTGGGCAATCCCAGGTATGCCACTGCCCTTCTGATCATTCTCTGACCTCCACAATTACCCTCTGAGTGACATGGTGGCCACTGAACGAGGCTCTGTGGTGAGCTGTGCAGGGCAGGTATTAAGGACGGAATCCAGGTGGCTTTGATTGACCTCCACCTCCACTGTCCGCCTGCTGTCTGTGGCCAGTATCCGCCCTCCCTAAACTCCATCACCTGGTATTGTAGTGACCTCATGGCCTCTATGCTTCATCGGGACATTGTGGGGATTAAACAGATAAAGCCTGTTCCCCCCGCTTAAGAGGGCACCTGCCATACTGTTTGGTGCTTGGTAATTGATGGTTGATTATTTTATTGATCTGATTTCCCTGCAAGCTGTCTTAGGAATCTGAGACGCATTCTTGGCAAGTGTTGGACTTTGAAAAGGAGATGAAGATTGTAGCCTGAGTTTGAAGCCAGTGACGGCCATACACCAGCTGGGAGGAGTCAACGTCCCACCTTGAGGTTTCTCATCTGTAAGGTAAGGGCCATGAGCACTTGAGCCGTCATCCTGCTGTGGGGGACACATGAGGTCGCAGAGGCTAACATCACTTACAGAGCCAAGCACAGAGGAAGACGTGAGAAAAAGAGACACGTTTTAAGGCTGGATCCCTGCCTTCTCATCATGCCGTGAACAGAAAAGTCAGCTCAAGGCCTGATGGTTCCCCCACTTCCCATATTGTGTAGGGGAAGGAGAGTGACTGATTTTAATGAGAAACAGAATATCCCAGTGGTTCTTAAGAGGCCCGTGACGTTTGCTATACGAGTGCATGGTGCCTTCACCTTGGATTCTGAAGTGGCTGCAGCTGTCCCCTCCTGTCATCTCCCTACACAGCTTCACCCTGACATAAGCACCAAGAAGAGAAGGCTGAGTGACCTACTTGAGGGGAAAGCCCATCCCAGGAAAGACTGCCATGTTAAACAGGATAGTATCTCCACAGCTCTGGTCCGCTGATGGCAACACCAGAGAGTGAGCGGGGAGAAAGGAGAAGTGGTGGCATTAGCAAATGGTTATAGTGTTCCCAGGCAAGTCCTAAACCTGAGCAGAGTTCCTGGAACAGAAAGAGGATGTCTCAGACATTGCCACAGAGGAGACCTGAGCAGGGGTAGTGGCTGGGATCAAAAAGTCTGAACACAAAGGAACGGAGGAGTCAAGGTAGGCAGAGAGATGCCGGTGGGTCCAGGGCTAACAGCCAGACACCTGCTTCAGACCTCTGGAGACCAAAGTCTCCTGGCTGTGGGCCTGAAACTTACCTTGCAGGCTGTTCCCATTGGTGCTGGTGCAGGTGGGAGGCGGGGAGGTCTGGGGTCTAACCACGGGTGCAAATGCACTCTTCTGTTTCACGGCAGAGACCATGTTGGCTGGTGAGAAGGAGAAGATGCCCGAGGAGCTGCTGCAGTTGGAGGGGAGGCTTGTCGATGAGGCCATGGTGGGGCTGGATGGCACGACTGAGGGAGCAAAGAGAAGAGAGGATCACACCTAGAGATGAGGAGGCTTCGTAGATCTGACCCGGTCACTCTGCTCTGACCATTCTTAGGGAGGGCTTTCCCTAAACGCTTGGAACCCTGACCGGTTTCATTCGTCACTCGGTACTTAACATGTGCTCCCTTCAAGTGAGTGACTTCTGCGATTGTATGCCCGACAGTATGGAGTCACTAGTGTCACAGACAGCTTCTAGGGGTGTGGGGTTGATCCCTTTCATTCAGCCCAGTCGATCCCAACACATGAAGCATGCTATGGAGGAGGACACAGAGTCTCCATCCTCTGAGTTTCCCAGGCAAGAAAACAAAAGCCCAACCCCTTCTTAGGAGGGGTTGCACGGCACAAGCGGGATCAAGGTGGGTGCAGTCATCTCTCGGAAGGCAGAAGACATTAGAGAGGGCTTCACAGAGAGGTTTTAGGGGAAGCCTTCCATCCCTGGCTGAACACGGAATCTGGGGACAGATGGGACAGGGGGAGGCTAGTTTGAGAGGATGTGGTCACTGATGAAGGAATGAGGAGTCTGAGGAGGAAGGGGGACTCAAAGGTAAAACCAGCCCTGTGACTAGGTTACAGGATCTATAAGGATGGACTTGGGTCTGGATACCACATAGACTCCAGTAGGGAGAAAGCTAGGTAACGAAAACACCACCGCATGCATGCAACATTGGTGAGAAACACATAACTATAAATTCCGGTTCCAAGTTCTCCCTTCTCACGGGCATTTCCACAAATGTTTGTGAGATAAGCGGGGGGGGGGGGGGGGGGGGGGGGGGGGAGAGATCAGAGACAAATGCAAATCCTGTCGGCAATAGTGGGGGCTCAGAATATGCACTGAGAACACTTTGGCATGGTTACCTTAGGAGACAGAGACTTTCCACACAGTGCCAAGGTTAATGCTTTCACACACACCCTTTCCTTTGCCTCTATGTCCCAGATACTCTTGTATCTTAATAAACATCACATATGACTTTGTGATGCGCAAAATTCTTCACATCTTTCCATCTTGTCATTGACAGAATAATAGAAGGTCAGGGGGCTTATGACTTAAAAAAAAACACATATAAGTGATTTGGAACTCAGAAAGTAGCTGAAGTAATTGCTAGAATATACTGCTTGGCCTCATGACGTTGGAAAGTTGGAAATAGAGGGGTCGCATCATTCACAGGCAAGGGTTGCCATCAGAAGGAAATGATCCTTTGTCACCAGCCCAAGCTGGCCTGGCTCCAAATGGGCCAGATGCCTCCTGGAGGAGAATGCAGAGGCCCTGTCCACACCTCAGAGCTCTCCCCCACGTTTACTAGACTGTACTTTTTCTTTTAATGAAACCAGCATTTTTATCCATCTCTTAGGATTTGTAAATGTGGGAATGCTCTCAATAATAACACCCATTTAAATTGCAAAATTCCTGCATCGGAGGTTGGATTTTTAAATATTCTTAGACTTGAAATCCTGCTGGCTCACCACCGAAGGAAATTAATCTCGTTGGCAAATGCGATCATTATGTGTATTTAGAGGTGGGAAGTTTGGGGGGGCAGTTAACAAGAAAGGGGTGAAATATAGTGGAGTATTGCCATTTGTTACAACATTATTGGTTACTAGCTGCCATACCACAGAGTGTTCACCAGCCGAATGTCTTATTTTATTTTTTTTATTCTGTCAGAATTTTTCAACATGAGTGGTTTATGAATAATTAAATATTACAGAGACAAAAATTCAAATCAGTTGGGCTCTGTGTTTATTGTTTTATTTGCATTTATGCAGATAATATCATCCCATCTGAGGGCCTATTTGAGAATTTAACACTGTATTTGTGAGCTCTGAGGAAATCAATTAATGGAAATGAAATGTTCAAGTTTCTCAGGCTAACAGATGTGATCTTAGGCAGAAGTCACTGGACGTCCCGCTCAGGCTTGGGAGGGTGAGCAACCGGAGCCCTAAATTAAATCGCTACCATATAGCAATTAGCTTATTGATTTAATTAAGAATGCCACCTTTTAATTTTCAGGTCATGATTGAAACATTTTCTGATGGAGTAGCTGGGAGAATACAGAGGGATAGATCTTTCAATAAATCAAAACCTAATGTGAAACCAACCTCAGTGTCGGCTGGTAAACAGAACTGGAGCTCGCAGGCTAGCCGGCGGATTTTAAACATCCCACAAATGGCCGACTCTAAAGGAATAAGGCAGAAAGGAAAAGGGAGCACACTCTGAGCAGAGAATTCCCTCAGAAGTAACCCCAGGCCAGGATGACCTGTTCACCTGTGAGCTGTTAGCCACACTTGAGCGTGGAGACAGCATTGTTTTCTGTATTTTTAGATAAGATTCATGAATATTCCTTCATTTGACAACACTTCCCTATTCTTCTGCAAATGTCTCTGTAACCAGCCACATTTTCTACATCTGAAGAACTCTCCACAATGTTCCAGATGAACCTGGCTATCTACGGAAAGGTCCTCAGAGAGAGATCAAGAGGTTGTGGAGACAGAGCCTGTGACATTTTAGAGCAAGAAATGCCAGTTTGCTGAGGCTCTTTAGATGTATGTGTTTATATAGAAAGATGCCAATTTGCTGAGTTCTTTCTATACAATTGGAGGGTTGTGCTCCTCCCCCAAATTCCTTTAAGCTCAATTTCTAAATTTCTTTAGGGTAGGAACAGGGCACCTTGGAATATTCATAGTCTGTATTGGGGGTGGGGGGGTGGGGAGGGTTTATCTTGCCAGACTTTTGTGAAAAAACTTATGTTTTGATGTGTTGTTTTTCTTTCACTTTTTTTTTTTTTTTTTTTTTTTTTTTTTTTTTTTTTTTTGGTTTTTCAAGACAGGGTTTCTCTGTGGCTTTGGAGCCTGTCCTGGAACTAGCTCTTGTAGACCAGGCTGGTCTCGAACTCACAGAGATCCACCTGCCTCTGCCTCCCGAGTGCTGGGATTAAAGGCGTGCGCCAACACCGCCCGGCTTCTTTCACTTTTTAAGAGCATATTACACACAAAAAGGAAAATAGAAACACCAGAAAAGAAAATATATTATTTAATGAGGGGATCTGTTGTCACAGCATCGGGAAATGACTTAGATTTACAAATGCTCTTTCCTGTGCTAGACCTGAGGACCAGATTCTGACAAACAGAATCTCACCCATGTTCCCCAACACTGGTAGAGGTGTGGCCTAGAAGCTTCTCCTCTTAAAGATGAGAATGCTGAGGCACGAAGAGGACATGAATGTACTCAGGGGCCTTGCTTAGCAGCTACTAGAGGTGGGTGGCAACCCCATGGCCATCTGACCACAAGCGTGGGTTCTAGGAATGGCATCACGTGGCTGCATTTGTAAAAGGTGAACATACAGAGATGGCTGCTGGAGAGGACAGTGCTCAAGTTTGAGGGTTGCAGGCTGGGGAGGGGGCGTGGCTCAGACCAAGCAGCCCTGCCCAACTGGCCTTCTGCTTGATGCTGAGCTCTGCGAGGGAAACATACAGTACTCGGGACACACATCTACTTACTGGCATAGGGTGAGTTGGCAGCTGAGCCATTGAGGAAGGTTGGGGAGCCACCCAAATTGGACATGGCGGCAGAGCCGTAGCCATTCATGCTCGTGGTGACAGAGTTATAGTTGGTCTGCTGGGGGGTGGTGCTCGGCACATACCCATGCGGTGACACGCTGCTTGAGTTGCGGGTGAAACCTGAGAAATGAAGGCAAAACCCAGGGTCAGGGTAGCATTCAGGCAGTGACTTTTGTGGGAGACCTGGGGTATCAGGGAGGAACATCTCCATTACACCCGCCTCACAGCAACCAAAAGGGAAAAGACCCGGTGATTCATGTGCAGGGGTTGGTAGTGCTATCTCTGTGATTAAAATGGGAAGCTAGCAAAGACACATTTCTTAGGAGATCATAAATACTTAGCAGGGCCGTGAGAAGTGGCAATGGGCCTATAAATTATCATTTTGGAGCAGGAATAAATCCCAATCTAAGAGATGTTCTCCCGAGTTAACAGGTTCCTCTTCCCTGGACAAGAATGATGTGTTGTGGCCTATGAGAACTTTAATTCCATCCCTCTTTGTGATCTGTCATTCATGATTTATGGGGGAAAGTTGGATGTAGAAATGGCTGCATGCATGCATGCATGCATGCATTCCTTCAAGCCCCCCTACTAAGTCCCCAGATGTGAAACTAGAAACAAAATTCTACAATAATATTTGATACACACAAGTGAAGAATCTCTCTTGGAAGAAAAAAATATTATATATAATATATATAAATTTGATCTCAAGTAAATGGCAGAGGCCGGAAGGTGGGAGAATGAGTTTATCAAGGGGCAGGGGAAATGGAAGAGAGGGAAAAAGCAGCCTCCTGACCTTGATTGGTGGCTTGTGATGCCTCAGAGACATTCACAGCCAGTTGTCCACTGAAGGAGTTCACGCCCATCATCCCTGCATGAACCGAAGTGTTAGCAAGGGCTGGGAGCTGGTTGTGGTTGCGAGGGACACTGTAGAGAGCCTCTGCAATGTCGGCAGCTCTCTTCAGGATAATCTCCTGGAAAGTCAAAGGCACAGCATTGTTAGCTGCCCTGACTCATACTCCCAACAGCCCCATCCTTTTGTGCTTCCTCTCTGGCAGATTCTGTGCTCGGGGACAGCAGTGGCCAATATTTCTGTATCACCGCTGATGTACCTGTAAGGTCAGGTTTTATCATCCTGGCCACATCACAGTTGGGGAAACTGAGGCCATGAAAGGCAGAGAGCTCACTCAAGAATACTCATTTCTTTAAAGATAGAGCTGAGATCCAGAATGCCATTTGTTTCGGTCTGAAACCTATTGTTGTCAGTATATGACAGTACTGTGGGATTTCCCTTCTCCTTCATGCATGGGAACTCAAGGCCTGAGAATCATGTCCTCTGGCTGCCATTCAGGGAAGCCAAATTCTGAGGATTTTAGTACAACTGTTTTCTGGACAGTGAACTCAGGAGAGGAGGGGAAGGAGTGAAATTGGTCAGAGTCAGTTTCCCAAGAAGCTTCAGTTTTTTGCATACAATTGTTCTCTGAAGCATGAATAGTACTTCATTCTATATTTTAGGAGAAGAAATTAAACCCTTCCTCCTCCTAAATTTGCTAAACTTGAGAGAAATAAAACAAAATACAGTAGCTCTTTTTTTTTCAGTTATGAAGCACATTCCCAGTGAAGATTAATTTTTAAATGGAGCATCTTTTCCAGAAAGGGATAGGACACAATTTTAAAAAAAGATAGTGGAAAATTTGAAAAACAGGGAGGTCTGAACAGTCCTATGGCATGTCACATCTTAGACAATTAATACTTAGCTTTCATAGCATTTTTTTACTATAAGGACTCAGACATTTTTTTCAATGAATGAGGAAGCACTTCATTAATTTAGAGACCTGGACCACTTACCTGGTTGTTGTGGGGCATCCCATACAGGGCTTCAACAAGATCAGCAGCCCTTTTAAGGATCACTTCCTGTCAAGAAAAAAAAAAGATAGATGTGCGCTTCTGAATGACAGCAGGTGTCCTTATTTTTTCCCATGACAGCATCCCCATCCTTCTAGCCATCCTTTGCCAAGACACAATTGTAAAAGCAGTAGCTTGGGGGCCCCAGAATGGTGTTAAGTTACCAATTTATCCTTGTTCACATACACACTTAATTGAGTCAAAAGGTGAGCATCATTGGTACTGTAAGATAAAATACATCACTCAGTCCTCTGGCATAGGCACGATAAAGCACTCATATGTTTATTGCTGAATACAATTGCGTGGTCATTTGCTGAATTACTATAATCGATGTCATTCAGGGCATGGTATGAATCCCTAAGATGTGTTTATATTGTACTTAATTGCTTATTCCAGAAACCATGACCTTATCAGACGGGTCATTTCCAATCAATCTCCAGCCACTAAAGAAGCATGTAGCCTTAAGCTTCTTTTGTTTGTCTCTCTTGTATGGCGGAGCTATAAGGACAGGATACAGAAATCTCACACACGGAAGGAATACAGTGCTGATCAAAGGCCTTTGCACAAGGATTCTCCTCTCCTTAGAAGCCCCCACTGGGCCAATATTCATGACAAGTAGCCTTGATTTCTTATACTGCAATTCTTTGCTGTTTCTGTGGTGTTGGTGTTTCTTCTCTCTTGCTCACTTATCCTCCTCATAGATCTATGTTTATTACTCATCCGGCTTGAAGAAAAAGTAGCTCCCTCCTTTTACTAAGGTAGGCTTTCACCTTTGACTTGCATGGGTCTAATCAATGGAGGTACTCTATATAACACATTAGGACAAACATAAGCCATTCTTTCTCCATTGCACCTGATCTGTCTATAGATTCCATCTATAGAATAGATGGAATAGAACAGATAGTAGCAACATTAGGCTTGGAACTGGTAAAAATGAGGCCTAGCAAAGAGCCACATCCAATAGCGTGAGGTAGAGAGGGCACTTATAAAAGCTTTGTTTACTGTAATTCAGTGTTGATAAAGTTGTAATGGAAGTATAACTTTAAAATCGGATGCCTTGGAGTTCAGAACGGGAAAACAGTGCTGTTCCATTTTCAGATGCTGCAGACACTGATCAGAAAATAGGGCTATAATTGCGTTCATTTCGCTGTCACCATAGCCTCTTCAAAAATCCTTCAGCAAATCTTTCAATGACAAGCTTTTAGATATATATTAGCATTTTTTTCAATTCAAAATTCTCCACAATATAAGATAAAACAGTTGTCATACTGCAGTAACTACTTATCACATATATAATGTCCTAAACTCAAAGAGGAGAGAGAGGACTTTCCAGTTCTTGATAAACTGCCAGACCGCTCCCCCTTTCTAAAACAATGCAGTCATTTTTCATGTAAAGGGTAGAGAGAACACTATAATCAATGGAATCTGAACCAATATATCTACAATTATCCCTTCACTTTTAAATGCAAGCTACACAATAATTTACCACTTTTTGTTTGTATCTGACCATAATTGACCACAGCAAGGGACCACTAAACCCTATGCCCAGCTCAAATCCAGCTAGTGCCGCTTTCTTCAAAACCTTGTGGCTTTATCTGGCTCCAAGGAAAGACTAAAACAAAACAGTAGCAACTTAGTTCTTTATTAAGAGATTTGCCATCTCTGCATCTATGGTCATGTATTTCTCCAAATAAATACTTATGCCGATGTCTGGGCTCTACTGGGAAGATGTTTCTCTTCTTTTGGATTTTTGAAGAAAAAATAGCAATATACAAATCTCTTGTTTGTCAAACTTATGACGCAGTATATAGTAAAGTAGTGGATTTCAGCCTTGCAACACTGTAATTAGAGATTGTAACACCCTTCTTGTTTTCATTAATTTCACAAAATCGGGGAGTAAATAAGTTCAGAAGGAATGCCAAAGTCTTAGAAGAATTTATAAGTCTGAATGAAATATTGCATTTTTGGTGATCAAGTTTTCAGTGATATGACCAACCTGGTGGTTTATTTAGGGCCAGAAGCGGGTTGCCATTTTACCACTTGAAAATAAAGGACATGGATTCTCCCTGCCTCTCCCCACCCTTCCCCCAACACTGGATCTTTTTGATCCTCTGTATTACTGTCTTCGATTCATGATGGTGGAGCTCGTTTTTCTAACCTAGCACATGGGCACAGGCACGGCTCCGGCAGAATGTCACTCCAAACCATCATTCGAATTTCAAGGAAGATGAATCCGGATGTCTTGTCCTAGAAGCTACGGCCTTAAATGATACCTCACCCATCTGAAAATGTCCTTCACTGTAGTATCAAATGTGGGCTTTTAGGGAGAGCCATATGTAGCCCAGCCCTGCCAGTGTGAACGGGTTTCCGCTAGTTATGTGTGCAAATGGGGAGGTAGAAAGGCATGCCTGGGCCCTCGGTGAGTTAGTGCCACAGCCCTGCAAGGTGCTTGGATTTCGGTGACCAGAAAATTGCTCTCACCTCCGTGTCATTACGCTCTCGGTGAACTAGCCCCCAAGCGTGTTTGTGTTGGGGATCTAATATATTGCCTTTCAATCAGAGCTGAGAGCCACTGAACACAGAGACAGAACATGACGAGCAGGTCAGGAAAGCAATAAAGATTTTACAGAGCTGTCCAAGGTGCTAAATTTACTCAATAATGGGTTTGGCACCATAGTGTTAACCTCTCATTTACTACCAGTTTGAGGGACTAAATTGAAGTAGCTGACTTCATTTACCTTGAAATGTATATTTTATGACATTATGTAAGTAGATTGAAAGGGCACTGCAGTTTTAACAATTTAAAGGCTAAAGCATGTTTAAGACGAAACTTGAATATTTATTGTATATTGCACTTAAAGTATATAGAATGTTAAAATGTATTGATTAAATTTGTAAAAGGCATTATAAAAATGACAGGTAATATAAGAGATGTATGTCTTTTAAAATCAGATTGATAGTATATGCTATCTCTTCTGGGGCCACAAGTGTAATTTTTTTGCAGTTTTATGTGATAATTTGAAAAATCTGTAATTTCACATTAGGAAATGATTGAGCCTAAGATTTTTTTCTTAAAATAAAAGGAAAGAAATTTCCCACCTGGGGGAAAACTGGATATTTCATATAGTATTTTGTCTTGGCAATTACTCCTTAAGTCCTATTTTCGTGGCACTAGGTGGGAGTATAGTCGAAGGAACCTTCAATTCTAATATTCAGTTTCAATACTGCTGAAAAGAAAACTTACTTGACTGCTATTAAAATATAATTTTTCAAGGCATTCACTTATTAGAGAGATTTTTCTTTTCATAATGATGCACCCCTCCCCCGGTCAAATTTTTAAACACTGGGCTTGAGAGATTAGAGTCTTCCAAAACAATTAATGCTAGACTTGGATTTCAAAAGCGATTCCCATTGGAGAATAAAGAAGATATCCACAAGTATAATAAATATTGAACGTCTTAAGAGCCCCCTTTAAAGATTTAATGCTTGTCCTCTCACAAAATTCTGAGTCAGATGGTTTTGTTTTTGGTTTTGGTTTTTTTTTTGGGGGGGGTTTGGTTTTCTCTGCATGGCCCTGAAGTCTTAAAGAAACAGAAAGTATTTGCTCTTAAAAACAACCTCCATGTTGATCTCTTTCCTCACAATCACACTCTGCCTTCTCCTGTCTTTAGACAGTGTTCATGGAATAAAGATTATACGGATGGGGGCGGGGCCTGTGGGCAGGGGCTATGCTACAAAATTGGGAAACTTTGTAGAGGCTTGAGGTGAGGTTCCAGGGAAGGGTTCAAGTGTGATTGCTATTGCCTTTTCTTATGATAGGGGATCACCATAGCTGAATGGGCTACAAAGGGAAGTCCCATTTTTCCCATGTGGTCAACCAACCTAATGGTGAGTGATTTCTGAGCTGCTTGTGGCCTCGGTCGTCACCTCTGAATATCATCAGCTAGCTGCTGTAAGGACCCCTCACCCTCTCAGAACTGAGCCGCAGGGCTCCACAAGGGTTACCCCCGACCTTCATCTTCCAGTCACTCTACCCTGGCCGATCTTCTTGCCCTGTGATGCTGGAGAGCTGTTCTCAGTTCAGGTCTAGTCAATACTCCGGAAACTTGAGTCAGACTGGTGGGTTCCTTCTCTGCTGTCTCCTTACTCTATCCTTGTTGCCTTTCCTTCTTTGGAGAAACCACTTGCAATGCCTCCCACTCTCCCTGAGACTGGAGGTAGCAGCAGTCGGGTGGGAAAGGCAGAGGAAGTGAAATACAAGCTTCAGCTGGTCTTCACAGAGAACATTCGGCCAATGAAGAAATGGAGACTCAGGCAGGTCAGACAATTTTCTCTGAGTGAGCACAGCTGCAGCGTGGCTGAGCGGGGATTCAACCCCAGACCTGCCACATTTAAGAACCCTAGATCTTGATAGATCTTCTAATCCTTTAGAAATGATTTCAGCTTTTCTGCAACCCTAATCATTTATCTCTCTCTTTCCTCTCAAAAAAAACAGCATTGACCAGACCACCCAGAAATTCATAGAATACAAGCCATAAAATATTTTGCTCTGTCTGAAAGATGTAAGCCCACACTGGCCACTGCTAGATGATAGACTCGTTAAGGCCCTGGATGCATCTTATTCTCCTTCATTAAGGTCCTGGAACAATGCTCAGTGAAATCCAGCCCCTGAGAAAGTTCCTCAGGAAGAGTCCCTTCTGGGATTCCATCGCTGATCTTCTAAAAGTACATGTCTAATTCATATTACTACACCAGTGACATATTTACTGCAATTCATAAAAGCACAAGAGTGAAATTTGGTGTTCTATTTGGTTCCTTGCCTTTTAATCCAATGTGTAAATTCCCAAAGGTTAAGTTATGATCACTGAACTTTTTAACATCACTTTTTCTCCTAGGAATTTGCTCTTTCATGGCTGCCAGCTTGAACTTACATTTTTAATGTTGTGGTTAATAGAATAACTGTGTTAGGGCATTATCTCAGGTTATAGGTGTCTAGCAGCATGAGCCTG